ATATTTAAAAGTTTGCATCATGGCCTTGGACAAGTCACAAGACATAACCCATCTGAATCCTACTTGTTTTGTCACTGAAATTAGGTTAGTAACGCCACTTACTGCTTCAGGTTGTCTTGAAGATCACACAAAATGAGTTAATGTACAAATGCATTTGGCAAAAACATTAACACCTGTCATAGCAGTGAATGATAGAATATACACAGAAGCATCTTAGAACTACCAAGGACTCCATATGAATGGAAGCAACTAGCATTATCTTGTTGCCTGTCCTTCCCAAACACGTATGGAGAGAGCTTGCAAAATGCCTAAGATGCAGCTGTGGCCAGGGTGAGTTTTCTCTCTGGGCTTTAGATGAATTCACTCTGAATATCTGGAGAATCTGGAGATTCTTCTGCTTATACTTCTTCCAAGTATAGGTAACCTCACATGATTAGTGGTAAGGTAGAACTTCCTTCCCTCCACTGCCAGATGACTCTTAAAATGAAAAAGCAAGTTTTAGAGCAGTTCTGCCACCATGGAGCCTTTCTTCGCAAGCAGTCACTTACATGCTGTTGTTTCTAACATCCTTTGTGCTGATTAAAGAACCAACACTTTTTTTTTTAACTTATACATTTATGCAAACAAGAACTGGGGTACAAGCCAAAGGTGTGGGGGTGAGAGGATTCATGAGAGACAGAGTGCAGAGAAGAACAGGCTGATTGACTGAAATACACTGCTGAGGGGAGTAGTAGGTAAGACAGGAGATGTCTGCTGCGCCACATGGGTCACCTCCCTGGCCGGGGTTTGCACTCATGCTTCAGTGGCTGAGGACAGCTTCGTAGTGCTGCACTTTAACCCATTGCACCACCAGGGAGGGCTCCGGAAGTAACACCTTTGATAGTAGCTTCTGATAGTAATATCTGAAGGCCTTTACCTCAGCCAACACTGGTCCAGGCAGATGTATCATGCTACTCCATGAGTGACATTCAAATTGTTTATAAGTGAAAGGTGCCCCCCAGGGGTGTGCAGAACACCAACCCCCAAG